GGTACCAAGTCAGTTCTTAAAGTATTTACAGGAATAAGCCAGGAGACAAGGCAGGAAAAGACAACACAAAATTAGCAGAAACAATACGAAATGCATGTTTTGGTCACTGAGGAGTCATCCAAGTCTGGAGCCTGAGGGCTGGGGTTGTGTCCCTAGACTCCTGGACTTGACTAAACTCTCCTCCTGGCTCAGAAGCACTGTGAACCTTGGGCTGCGGCCACAGCAGTGATGACAACAGACGGGAGTGGAACATCGGCTCTGTTCTTGGCCCTGGAGGGTTGGTGTGCAAAGTCACCATGGGCTTAACGAGGACATAATGGTCTGTACAAACACGCCCTGATGTGATACCCACTTGCGTTTTTGCGTACACGACCCACACACTCGAGCGCGGGTGTGACACAATACCCAGTCCTGCTTCTGTGCAACGGACGTCCAGTTTTCACACCAGCCAAGTGCGCCGTGCCCACGGCGGGTCACTCCTGGGACCCTGCCACCAGCTCACAGCCTCGCAGACACAGCCTGATGCTGCACAGTGGATGTCGAATCAAGCCAGACATCGGAGGGAAAGAAACACAGGTCTTCAAACAGCAGGTATCCCCTCCACCACGCTGGGTTTACAGTTCGAATCAGTGCTGCCGAGGGTGAATACGATTTAGATTTAATAAGACCAGGGTGGTATACGGAGACACAGAGGCCCACCGATCCGTTCCAATTAATGGTGTCAACGTTCTTGCTGTTACTGAAAGTTTAGATCACGTAATGCCGCTCAGTGCCCCCAATCGCCGAACAAATAAATCAGAAAGAAATGTGGATTAGCAAATGCGTGTTGCTGTGGCTGGAAACACATGGCCTAAATTTAAAGCTGAATCCTGAGATCTTCCTTCAGACCTGGCCTCTCCTCCAGCACGGGGCCACCCGGCCAGCTCTCCTCGCCAATCCCTGCTCACCTTCTCCTCTCTCCTGGCACCTCTCATCTGCTCTCCCCGGCCCCTGCGTCCCCACACTCAGCTGAGGACCTTGCTTCTCGTTTTGCTCAGAAGAGAGAACAGAGCAAAGAACTTTCCAGAAGCCACCACCACCACCATCTCACTACCCTCCTCAAGTGCATCAAGCCACCTTCTCTGCAGAGACTGAAGGCCAAGGGTCTGAGCTCTTGATGGAGACCCCTCTGCTGGCTCCACCCGCCTCACCACTGAGGCAACCAAGGCCAAGGCGAGGCCTGCACCTGCCTGGCCTGGCTCCTCCGGCCACCTGGAGGCTGGCCCTGAGCAGGGAGTGCAGGTGGTGGATGGGCAGATGCCCACAGAACCTCAGTGGGGCTCCTGCCCACCCCTGCACCCGCTCCCAGCCAGCCCAGAAGGTGTGTGCAGCGCCTGGTAACACGAGTCACCAGTCACGGTGCTCCTCACAAGTCACACGGTTCCAATGAGGACGCCTGCCCAGCCCTGCCCAGCCCTGCCCTGCCCAGGCCTGCCCTGCCCTGCCCAGCCCTGCCCTGCCCTGCCCTGCCCAGCCCTGCCCTGCCC